ACCCGCATGCGAAAAACAAAACACTGAAACCATCTGAAACCCAAACCTGGCAACCCCAAAGCCGTAAACCGCTAAGCTTTGCTTCTAGTGTCCATTGTAGTTCCTCTTTTGCGTTACTCTATAGTATCCTAACTATAAGACTGGTTAAACCAAAAAGGAACTACAATGGATACTAGGGGTAGTACCTCCAGCCCAGATCCGAAATCCTGAATGCCCATATAGGGTTTGGGGTTTAGGGTTTAATATGGGCTTTGTGTTTTGGGTTTAGGGTTATATAGATCCAACACAAAAAAGCTGAAAGGACCCTGATAGATCTTCCAAAACGATCAACACCTACTATTGGACCCTAGCGAAACTACCTTTCTTGGATGGCTTAGAATCCTTACTGTATTCTTTTGAATCATGAGTCCACAATTGTACTGCACACCATTGACTGTTATTATGCTTTGCCTTGTTGTTGTTATTGCTGTTGTTGTTCTTAGGCTAAGGTTGTTTTACTATGGTTAGCGATATCGTTGTCGTTAATTACTATTCTTAGTTAGTCTTATTCATTACTGTTAAATGTAGAACTCCAAGAGATCAGTTCGTGGACCCCATTCTGTGTCCCCACAAGCCTTGGCTTCGCGGCTGTACTCGTCGACTTCCGTAATCTCCCGCACTGGGATCCTCTTATGCGTTTTGCTTGTCGGGGTTTATGGTTTAGGGTAGGTGGTTTGATAGGATTTAGGGTTCAGGATTTTGTGGATGCTTGCAGGAAGTAGAGCTTCATGGCTTGATGGTTTTGCTTTGACCTGGGCTTAGGTTTGGGCTCAGGGCTAGTTTGAGATGAATGCTTCCGGTGTATTTTGTGTTTTTTTTTGTGCTTTTTTGGGGGTTGGCATTAATGGAGACGAGATTGATGGAGAACTTGGGTGGGGAGAGTTTGGGCGTTGAAGGACTAATTGCTATAGCGAGCACTACAATCTGATAAACTAAACAATCCCAAGGAAGTAAATTCATAATTCCTGAAGTAGGGTTTAGTGGTGGTGATGTGGAGTTGTAAAGATCCTAGGTGAGATCTCTGGCTAAGTTATGCTCACATTAGACGAGGGACAGACAAACTGGTATTGTAGCATAGATATCCAGACTTCTAGATTAGTCGCTTGCATGGGCAACGAGTAATGGGTGGGCGGAGGAAGAGGCGAGAACCTCAAAACCCTAAACCCCTCAACCCCAATAACCCTAAGACCCTAAACCCTACTTGGAGGTTCATGGGTAGTTATAAGTGGGTGATAAGCCCCCTAATATGAGCTATAAGTATAGGTGCCCTACTTATAACCCTACTTATATCTACCCATGAACCTCCAGGTAACCCTGCGCACATACGTTCGAAGCTGTACTTCGCCGCACATCCTCAGAGGAGCCTTTCCTCTCCACTTAGGGTTTAGGGTTTAGGGTTTAGGGATGTTTAGGGCTTAGGGTTTAGGGTTTAGGGTTTAGGGTTTAGGGCATGCTATGCCCATTCCCCAAGATGTAGCAAAAGGGGCTTCGGGGTTAACGTGTAGGGTCTGGTCAGTCAAATCAAGGTTTAAAGCTGTGTCTCCTGCAGGAAGTATTGGGGCCCAAACAAGTCGAAACGATTTGGGAGTTTCCGAAAGTTAGGGGTACCTTATTTTGTGGTCCTTATAATGAGGATCCTACGATTTAGGGTACTATATAAGGGTCCCCTATTTTCGGAAACTCCGATTTTGGTGTTTAGTACCGTAACGTTGAATTTCAACATCCAGTAACTGGACACAGGACTGCGTGATTACTTGCTCAGGTCTGTGTAGTAACCCTCTTGCTACCTCCGTTCACAGCACCGGCATCACAAAGCTCGCGCTCCAGACGATTTTTAAAGCAGAAGCCTGAATTGCTGCTACAATTCTGTTCATTCAGGCTCCTTACTGCTAGTTACTAGGAAACCCCACGCAGTCATCTAACTCGTATAGACAGCCTTCATTCTAGGAACCCTCACCTTAACACTACCAGAACCTACTATTCCTAGGTTTGTACTTTCAACTGATATGGAACTTACAAGGCCCTGCACATCAGGTTTTCAAGGTTACCCAGACCTTCCAAAACCCCTTAATTAAGGAATATACCTTAAATTATAGTAGGATCCTTAATATGATTTAAGGTATATTCCTTAATTAGCGGATTTTGGAAGGTCTGGTTAAGGAAAAGAATGCAGACCAGTTGCTTCTTCGAGACATAGCGCTCCAAATCGGGGAGGCGCTCCACGAGATAGACAGAGCCTACCATGGTCAACACAGAAGAAGACCGTTTAAGGTAGGATTTAAGGTTTAGGGTATTTCGGGGTTTGAGGTTAGAGTTTAGGGTGTCAGGTTATAGGGTTCGTTGTTGTAGGGTTTAGGGGAAAGGATACCTGGGATCCGAGAAGCTGGGAGGAACCCCAAACCCCCGCCATCCGCACCACCCTATCCCACCCCCCAAAAAAACGCTCTCTCCTCCCTAAACTTATATTTAGTTACCTTAAGGACGAAGCTTAAAAGGGTTTAAGGTTCATATACCATATAGGGGTTATATGGGCATAGTGCATAGTGCCCCTACTTTTAAGGGTGATTTGGTCCTTCAGGAATGCGTTCATTGTGAGGGGCCATTACAGTGAAAATACTGTAGAAGAACCCACTGTTTAAGAACCTGAGCCCCTACCCAAGGCGGAATTCACTAGATTCAAGTTGCCTCAATGTTAAGAACCTTAGGGTACCCTAGTGTTTTGGGTCAGGTTCTTAATTTTTTGAGTGCTTTCCCTCACCAAGGAAATTTAGAATCGAAAACTAAATTTCCGAACCCTCCACATCAAGAAGCCCTCTGCCCGAACATAATGAACGTATGATGGCTGGGCAACAGCAGGCATGCCACAGCGCAGTGGTTGTGCATGAGTTCTAGAGACAAGAAATCTTGTTTCGAACCCCATTGGTGTCATGCACTGAAAATTTAGAATTGAAATCTAAATTTTCCAAACCTCCAGCATCCTGCCTGTGCTTCCATGATTCCAAGGCACCAGGAAATTTAGAATTGAAAAATAGTTTTCCACAACAGCCTCCTACTGGCCCTGTGGTTCCAGGCCCAAGGCTTCGACCCACACCGACGGCGCCAGGAAATTTAGAATCCAAAAGTAAATTTCCAGCTCTTCCTCCCGACCCCCAAAAACCCCTCGCCCGCAAAGGATGGACACTGACCGAGCCGAGGACAGCACCCCCTAGCGCAGTGGTTCCGCGTAGGCCCCTTTGCGGAAAGCCTTTGTTTCAATCCCCAGTGGTGTCATGCCGCTGCGGGAAGCTTGCCCGCAGCTCGTATTCCACCGAAACAGAGCCCCTTGCCACCAAACGAATTCAAAATAGACTTTCCACACCAGCCTCCTCCTGGCCCTGTGGTCCTTGGCCCAAGCCACACCCCCGGCACCAGGAAATTTAGAATCCAAAAGTAAATTTTCTGGAGGGCTGCGGAAACTTAGAATTGAAAACTAAATTTTCCAGACCCCCATGGCCCACCGCCCCCCACCAGGAAATTTAGAATCCAAAAATAAATTTTCTGGAGGGCCCCTGGCCGTGCCCTCCGCCCCGAGTCCTGAAAACGAGCTGTGGAAATTTAGAATTGAAAACTAAATTTTCCAGACCCCCATGGCCCACCGCCCCCCACCAGGAAATTTAGAATCCAAAAGTAAATTTCCTGAGAGCCCTTGGTCCATTGGTCAAGGTACCGGATAAGAACGTGGTTAAGAACCTGAGCCTACCCTAGCTGCTCGAACGGCAAAATCACATGTAATGGAAATTAAGAACCTTAGGGTACCCTACTCTCGCCGAACGGGGTTCTTATACAAGGTTTTCACTGTAATTCCCCACCCCCCCCAAATTGTAGATCGTAACCCAAAACCCTATTCTCATGACGAAGGCCCACCCTGAACCCCAAGAGCATGTTCTCATGACTACTTAGGGGCTGAATACCCGAGCCCAAAAAAGGTTAACCTTTGAACGATAGTAGGAATATAGAAGCCCCAACATGTTACTAATTAACCTTCTTACTAGAGTAGGAATATAGAAGCCCTAACATGTTACTAAGCTTTAAACTATAATAGAAAAATATAGAAGCCCTAACATGTTATTAAAGGTTACCTACTCAGCCCCTACGACTACGGTCCGCTATCCCCCTTCCCTTCCTGTAAAGCCCTAAGTGTAAACTAAGCCCTAAAGCCTGTTCTCATGATTAAGGCCCCTATCTCCCTTTTCTAAACCCCGAACCCTAATAAACCCTAAAGCCCTCAGGCCCCTAACATAGAGGCCTTAATAATTAGAGTAGGGTTTTAGGGCCCACTCTACCATGGCTATAACAAGGAATCCCCACCACAGTATTGGTAATTGTTTAAGCTCTTTAAACTATATCCTCGCAATAACCCTTTGGTCGCCCTTATATACCCTTTAAAGGAACCCTATAAGGAAGACTCCTACATGGGAGTTTCTGAAAATGGGGGACCTAAATAATAGGATCCTTCTTGTAAGGACCCCAAAATAAGGTGCCCTGAATTTTCAGAAACTCTAAACCCTAAACCCTTTATAGAACCCTTATAGATCCCTTAAAGGAACCCTTATAGATCCCTTTAAGCCCTACATGATCTCCCTTCCCTTAATCTCCCCTCTCCGGGCCGTAGCCACCAGCTCCCAGGAGGTCCAGGGTGCGGTATTGGTTGCGGCCTCTTAGGATTTAGGGTTTAAGGCTGTTTTTTTTTAGGGTTAGGATTTAAGGTTTAGGGATGGTTTTTAGGATTAGGATATAGGGTTTTTTTGTTTTGAACTCCTTTTTGCTCCTTGCAGATCCAGTCTACTCGGACAAGGCCGCATGGGCCAGGAGAGCGGGTAACCCGCCAAGCAGACATAGGCCAAGCAGCTTACGGCATGGCCCCCATCTGCACACTACCAGCCAATCCCTCACCCCATCACTGAGAAGGTCACTTCCATCGCCCTCTGAGATTGGAAAGCCTTCAAGGCCATATGCGGAGATCACCTTGTCATCCGAGATCATCCCCGAGGCCCAAATCGGATAGATGTTGAGCAGGACATCAGTGGACACTTCGTCACCCGGGCCATCCTCCATCTCCAACAGTTGTGTACGAACATCATCTTCGGAATCGCTTGCTGGTGCCAGAGGCTGGCTTTCTTCCACCCTGACTGTCATCCCGATGTGTAATTCCGAGCTGCCCCCCTCCATGGGAAAGGTAACCACCTGGGGTGCCTGGCCCGAGCCACTGGCCATCTCCACCACGCAGGTGCGCCTCTTCTTCCCCGGACTGGGTTCCTCCGGCGTGTGGATCATTTGGGTCGGTGCAACACCAGTGTCTTCCATGGGCGATGCCGGCACCAGTGCAGAGACCGCCTCACCAGCTTGAGACTCCTCGGCTGAACTGCTGTCGAGCGGGATAACCTTGGGGAAGAGCATGACGGGGGCTCGTTTTGGTAGAAGTCCTCGTGCTTGGCGCGAACCGTGGTGAGCGGGCAGGTGGGGCTGGAGGCGTTCCGCCCATTTCAGCCCCCAGCCAATTTCCAGGTCTGTGCACTTGGCCCAGTCGTCCGAGTTCTGGTCACCCTTAGGTCGCCAACAGTGCCACAATGTCCGATACAGCTCCATCCATGTGCCCCAAGAACTTTCCAGCCTGAGAGTCTGTGCAGCGATGGTTGAGCCAGTCCATAAGCCACTCCGCCGCACGACTCATGACCAGCTTGTCTCGGCTTTCCATGTCCTCCTGAAGAGACCGGAGCAGTTTACTCCAGTCTCCAGTGTTGGGCAACTGCATGTAGCTGGAGTCGTCCACCTCAACCTCCACTTCGTCTTTGGGGCCTTCTGATTGGTCCCGCATGGCATTTTCCAGTGCTGTGCCGAGGTTGGCCAACAGCACTTGGACCAATCTGGAGACAGCCATCATCAGCACCAGTCTGTCCTGTGGGCCATGGTCCAAGAAGGTGTCCCCGATACTTCGGAGCATCCAGTCCGGCAGCAGGTTGGTGCTGGAGGGGTCATCTGGATGTCGCAGTCCAAGAGATGGCTGCTTGACCCGGGTTTCACTGCACAAGAGCAGCGAGTCACGAAGACGACTCAGAGTCCTCGTAAACGCGAGGCTTCTTCTTGGCCCTCTTCCTTGTCTCTCGATCTTCGCGACGTTTTTCCTTGGTCATAACTTCCGTCATCTCATTCTGGATGTTGTCAATATCATCAGCGCGTTTGGCAGCCAGAAACTGACGAAGTAAGGGTAGCATTTCCGTGGACACAGGATTGGCAGTAGAGTTCATGTTGAAAGAGCGCCACGCAGAGCGTAAGGTTTTCACAAGCGCTCTGTCTGCCAAGATCTCGAAGCACAGCTTTGTCCAATTTAGTCGCAGCGTTGAGGCTGATAGCGTAAGAGTTCAGCCCCGGGTGTCGTTGCCTGAAGGCCAAACCCTCCCTCGTCACCTCGCTCAAGGTGCCATCCGAATTGGGTGTGTAAACAGGGAACGCCGTGTAGGTTCCAGTAGATTTGATCCCCTTGTCAAACTCAGAAACGACCACCTTCAACTCCTCCAGCAACGGAGTCAGACCCGCAGAGAAACCCACAGCCAGATGCGCTGCAATCACGCGAAGCGTACGTAAGGCAGCAGCATGCTTCTGATCAATGCCCAGAAGCAGGTGTGCTCCATCGAACCTTGCAGCAAGCTGTTCGTTCAGGCAGGTAAGGTCAAAGAGGCGGTACTGCTTGCCAGGTTCCCACCTCGTATGCTCCTTTTCGAGGCGATCAGTTGACTCGTCGACCCAGTCTTTCAGAGCATTCTGAGCGGTCAACAGATCTGTGTCAGTAACTGCGGGAGACAAGATACTGCCGATCATTATGATACGGAAGCGGAGAGTATGGCAGGCAGAGAAAATCGCATTGAGAGCCTTCTTGTCTGAGTTTGTAGCACTTGCTGCTTCGGCCATTCCAATTGAGTCTGCAAGAAGCTTTGTCAATTGAGCCTCCGAGCCAGGTCGGCGAGTCGTCGCCTGTGATTTTGTGCCGAGTTCCAAGAACATAGCGACGCAGAGAGAGATTGCGCGAGGGTACAAGTCGAGATCTGCGGGAGCTGCGTTGCCCGTGACAGCACCCATGATACGTTGTAAGTCGGCACTATGAGCAGCAAGTTCCGTCGTGTAGATGTCATTGAGGTCTGGATCATCAAGCGCCAAATCGTCCTCGTCAAGGCTGGAGCCACCAGCCGCAACGACCATTGCCCCAGCCAGGGCTATGGTCTGTAGAGTTGTACTCCCCCACGCTTGGGCTCCGATCTCCGCGCTGGCAGCGAAATGGACCATTATTCGTCCGTACATCATGGCAATGACGGCTGCAGGGACGAGCTCACTGCTACCTTTGATGTCTCGAATAGCATTAGCTAACGTCATTGTCATCTCTCCCGAAGCCACTTGGTCGCTCTCAGAGTTGAAGAGGTCACATGGTCGCAAGGCACTCGTGATCAAGCTCTCTCGCTGCTCCGCACCAGCACGCTTTGATGGGCCGTCAGCGTTGCAAGGAGCATTACGCGGCGCTCCGAGCGCGAGAAGGGCTGCAGCGATCTGTGGGTCCGGTGCTGCAGCACGAGCCCTGCGTGCCCTCGGGACAGCTCCGGCTCCACCTCGCCTACCGTGACCTCCTGCGCACCCGCGCCCACGACCCACGAGGCGGCGTCTAGGCGGCATCTTCCTCCCAAACTACCCCACCTGTCTATGGACTGGATACTGAGCAAAACAGATGCATGCACACAACACAGTTTATGCTCAAAGATGCTCAAGTGACAATCCACTACATCAGGACCAGAGACCTCACTTTCACTTTCAAGGCCGTGGCTCTGAATCTACTCCTAAGGGGTGAGACTCAGAGCACAGGATACTAAGGTCAGAGCTTAGTCACAAATACTAAACTCAATCTACTTACTTTACCATAGAATCCTGTTTCTGGCCATGTTCTCAGCAGTGTCAAGTATCTCACGCTCATCGTGGGTCCCTGACGATCGAACGTCCGTCGGATCTTTCCGCAGTCCGCAAGCAAGCATTACCTTCCTGGTTAATGAGTCCAAGCGTTCCGATATGCAGACGTCAATGGACCGCACCACGGGCCTCGAAGCAGTAGCCTGAAGCGACGAGAGCAAAGCTGCCTCGACAGAGGCTGGCGAGTTTGCTATAGCTGCGTCTTGACTGATAAGACTCTCCCACTTTGTTCTTACGTTTCGAAGGGCTTCCTTAAAAGACTTCCTCTTCCTTTTCCGTTCTGCTCTCTTGAGATTTCTCATGCCCTCCAGATGTGCAGCTGCTCGAGCGATCAGGAACTCACCCTTCTGGTTCAGAGACATGTCTTTGTCCTCTGACTCATCTCCGTATTTGGCCGTGTAAGTCGTTCCTGTCATTGCGCGCTCAAAGTCGTCGTCCACATCTTTGAGATCTTGAAACCCACTCAGCAAGCATCTCGTTTTGTCGTTCACATGCGAATCAAGTTTTTCCATCTCTAGAACTCTGGCTTCTTCATTTGCAGCCAACATCTTGACAAACAGATCTGGAGCAGAGGAACCAGAACCCCTGATGCTCGGGGCAGAGGGGTCAGCAGTGGCTGCAAGACAAGTCGTTGAGAGCACCGTGTTCGCAACAACAATGTTGGAATACTGGCCATATGCATGAAAGCTTGGAGTCTTGCCTTGTACTGCACTGCTGATCTCGTGCACAGCCCAAGCAGCACGCAGCCTCTCATGGTTCCTGGCCAAGATTCCCAGCTCGAAAGCCGTGGTCAGTTGTCGTGGGCTCAAGCTCTCAGACACAGCTACTCGTAGCTTCGGAGCGAGAGTACTGGCTAGCGCCAAGTGGCTGCGGCCAGTAAATGTCCGGATTCGACTGGAGACAGTGTCCAGCGACAGCAGGCCCGCAAAGCACCCTGCGCTAGCAATCACGTTCAAGTAAGTCAGATACTGGTCTTCTAACATCATTTGGTCCCTGACTTGTGACTTGAATTCATGCACTGCACAGTAGGCGCCACACGCTACGTCTCCTCTCAACTTGTCATCAAGCCCTTTGCTTAAGATCATCCTCCGTGTTTGCTCATAGGTGCATCCGTCGGTCTCGCTGGGATCGACAGACAGGATGTAGGGTTTAGGGTTCAGGGTTTAGGGCTTAGGGCTTATAGGGTTTAGGGTTTGGCGGTTTAAGGTTTAGCGTTTAGAGGGGATTGGGGTTCAGGGTTCAGGGTGAGGGTTTGCCTGTAGCCGTAAGTATCTTTAGGGTTCCTTATCATCATGGTTTCTATAAATAGTTATATTGAAAAGGTAGCTCTTCTCGGCTACAGGTCGTCTTTAGCAGTTTAAGGTTTTTGGGTTTTGGGTGTTGGGGTTTGTGGGTGTCATTGCACGCGTCGTTGCTTTTTGTTCATGGGTTTAGGAGTCTTAGAAGGTATCTCCGTGTGATTGTTGTTTGTTTCATAGAGGCTATTGGTATGCAGTTTAAGTTGCTAGAGCTCTGATACATGAAGCTTGACATGGCATTCGTGAACCCTGCTAAATCCGCAGCCGCACCCTTAACCGAGACCCTGAGTCCAAAACCCTCTCCACAGTTTTATGAGGGTCTCATATGCTTTATTGCGGTGCTTACGTGTTTGCCAACAGTCTCTTACGTGTCGTTATAAACTTTGTTATTTAACGGCTTTTCTGAGAGGCAGACCCGGACCATGTTCCCGAAGAGGCTCAGCAAGAGGCTCGGGGAGCTTGCTGCACGAATCTCGCTGATGAGTCTGAGTTCTCAAGCCTGGCCTGAACGTCGAGGCGGTCCAGCGAGTCCAGCTGGAGGTACTTGGGGTGCTGGGGAAGCTTGCTGAAGTCGAGGAGCTCCGCTGCCGCTCGCGGCAGATGTGCATAAATGCTCTTGCCCACCAAAAAAACACAGTGGGTGCTTAAATCCCTGAACCCTAAACCCTAAACCCCTACCTGGACCCTGAAGAGCCTTCCTTGTTAGGGTTCCCTAATATGATTTCCTTATATAAGTCCTCAAAAAGGTGGGTTCTTCAGGGTCAAGGTAAATCCTGAACCCTAAACGGCCCTGCGGGAAGCTAGGCTCTGCGCCAGGAGCTGGTTGTTGGGCGATTTTCGGCTGCCATATATGGGAGTTTCCGAAAATGAGGGGCAGCTTGCTTTTGGGGGTCCTTGTAATCAGGATCCTACTACTTAGGGTACTGTCTTAGGGACCCTCATATAGGAGTCCCGAAGGAGGAACTGCAGGGCTGGAAAAGGCTCCCTTTCCGGTAATTGGGTAGTTGTTGGGTACGGCCCCCACTCAGTAATAGATGAATAATATTCAGAATATAGATATAGTAGGACCTTGATAGTAGCCCTATTTTAGACTCTTACTGCATGGGGGCCGTACCTAAGGTAGTTGTACAAGAAACCGAAGACAACAGAAAGGGAAGAAGGGAGTAAAGACCCGACCGAGCCATCTCAAGCCCTAAACAAAGCAAAAATCGAAACTTGAAGCCCTATACCCAACTTGGAGGTTCATGGGTAGTTATCACTGGGCGGTATAAGTCTATATGGGCTATGGGTTATATAGTTACCCCACATATAACCCCACGTGTAATTACCCATGAGCCTTCAAGTAGTGAAGCCCAAAACAGACCTGAACATGGAGCCCTCAAGAATGAGGCTCCTTACTGTAAGGGCCCCCTTTTAAAAAGTTACGTAAAGGGAACTCCAGAAAGTTGGAATATGGAATATTGGCAGGATCCTCTATATTTTACCTTAAAGGGACTATGATAATGATATTCAAACTTTCTGGCTTCTACTGTAATTCCTAAACCCTCAGACCTGGATTGTGGTATAATGTGCTACCCCAAAACCCAGCTCAAACTGTTAAGGCCCTTAGATGAAGCGCCGAGATCCAAAACCCTACCTAGCAAGACTCAGAATCGCAGGTAAGGACCGTGCTTGCGGTGAAAGGATGGTCTCTTTGCCTCAACCCTCAACCTTAAACTCTAAACCCTGAACTCTGAACCCTCAACCCTAAACTCTAAACCATAAATCCCGAACTTTGAAGCCTCAACCCTTAACCCCAAACCCTGAACTCTGAAGCCTCACCCCTGAACTCTGAACCCTCAACCATAAAACCTAAACCCTGAACTCTAAACCATCCATCCTTAACTCAAAAAACCCTAGCCTCAACCCTAAACTCTCTAAGTCCTAAGCCTTAAAGGATCCCTGGCAGGATCCCTTTAAGGAAACCGTCAACCCTTAGAGTCTCAGGTCAGGGCAGAGCTTACAGGAGCAGCTCTTGCGAGTACAGATCTTCCAGAGGTAGATGAGGCCTCAGGTCGACTCTGGTGTTCCCAGAGAGCCCAAGGGGCCCCTTAATTAAGGAATACTTAGGGTTCCTTTAAGGGATCTATTAGGGATCTATAGGGTTTAGGGTTTTGGGCTCCAATACCCCTTAATTAAGGAATATGGCTTAAATTATATAGGGCTTCGTATTCTGATTTAAGCTATATTCCTTAATTCAGGGGTATTGGGCTCTCTGAGTTCTTTTGAAGGGTACCTTTTAGGGATTTAAGGGTGCCTTTAAGGGATTATTTAAGGGTTCCTATAAGGGTACCTTTCAGGGGTTTAAGGATTTAAGGGTTCCTTCAAGGGCTTCTTTGAGGGATTATTTAAGGGTTTAGGGACTGTGGAGTTCTTTCGAAGGGTACCTTTAAGGATTTAAGGGTGCCTTTAAGGGATTTTTAAGGGTTCCTATAAGGGTATCTTTAAGGAGTTAATAAGAGTTCCTTCAAGGGTACCTTTTAGGGATTTAAGGGTTCCTTCAAGGGCTTCTTTGAGGGATTATTTAAGGGTTTCGGGAAGGGGTCCTTTAAGGATTTAAGGATTCCTACAAGGGATCCTTTAAGGGATTCTTTAAGGGCTCCTTTAAGTGATCCTTGGAAGGGCTCCTTTAAGGTGTTGGGCCTTTAAGGGTTCCATTGAGGGTGTCTAATGAATTTCTTCAAATTGGGGTTCCCCTCAGGGGGTCGATTAGGGTTCACATGGGGCGAACTAGAACTTGGTTCATATACGTTCAGGGTTTAGGTCTACTCATTCCAGTGACCTGAGTGATCGGGATAACGGCGTTGCGTACAGTCTTACTGTACGGAACTCCGAGGAATGGCAACGGCAATTATAATTGATGTCTTTAATCACGCTCTCATGGTAATATAGGGACCTCTTTAATAACTAGAATAGATAGACTTTGGGGTGTATTCTACTATAATTATGCCAAGGAGCCCCCGAAATAGTAGTGGTAATCATAAAGGCCGCTATGTTGCGGAGTGCAGGGAGCCTGAGAGGTTTCTTAAAGGATCATAGGACTTAGTAACTAGGGTTATAATTAGGGTAACTTTCCTGATGACTTCTTTTTAACCAAATTAAGGTACTTCTAGCCTTACTTACTATGTCCCATGATCCTCCAAGTTGGCAGGTTCAGATTTCATCCAACGAAAGCTGCTTTCTTTACATCCCCTGCTGTAAGGCTTCCGACGTTCGGGATAAACGGATCCCATGAAGGAGTTTCCAAGAATGAGGGGTACCCCTATTTTCGGAAACTCCCCTGAAGGTGCGAAAAAGGGTGCTTTATACGAGTTTTGGCAGGGTTGTAGGGCTTCAGGGCTTTAGAGGGGTCGTTGGGAGCCCGCAGCGCAAAGCTCCAAACCCTACCAGGACCCCCCAATGGCCCTTTAATGGAGCCCTAATGGCTCTGAATAGCAGGTATTTGGGGTATATTGGCTCTGGTACTTAAAGGATCACGGGACTTAGTAACTAGGGTTATAATTAGGGTAACTATACTTATAACTACTTGTAACCCCAATCAAGGTACTTGTGACCTTACTCACTATGTCCCATGATCCTCCAAGCATATAGATCAGTCGAAAGCTCTAGATCAAAACCCCATCAAGACGCGCGCTTTTCCCTCGCCGTCTGCGAGCTGAGTGTCTAGGAAAACGGTTACAGGTATATCGAGTCACGGGCTATCTTTCGTTAGGTGTAGGTGGCTTTGGAGTTCACAAATCTTTGACTTACTTGCGCAGTTTAGCACAACACTCAAGCTTGACAGCTGGAAGGGGCTACTAAATCAAGTTTTCTGGGAAATATCATTAGGGGTTCCAGTATATGAGTAGAAGTTACTTTAATCTAAAGAAGTCTCGAGATTCCTTCAAGAAGTCTAGAGATTCCTTAAAAGAAGTCTAGAGATTCCTGCATTCCACTTTAAACTCCAGAAAATCGGAAGCGAAATGTACCCAGGCAGCCGGGCACACCGACGACCGCATTGGCAGGCCGAAGCCCCTACGAGCGTGTGAACCTGGGATCCTGGACAAGTTCAAAGAACTATCATTACCATCATGAGTAGTCACATTACTCCTTTGTGAAAACATATATATATATATATACACACATATATTTATGTACATATAACTTTATCTATATCTATATACATATATGGGTTGTTGTTTATGTGTATATATATAGATATATTTATATTCATATTTATAGTGGTCTTCTGGGGCAATACCGGGAGCCAATCATGCGGTGCATGGTGGTAGTTTAGTACAACAGGGGGGGCATGTATGATGAGTAGGTACTTGGACCGTTGAGGCACCACCCACTGGATCATAGAGAACGGTCCTAGTCTCGCTGATTTCCAGAAGAGGCGTCGAAAGCCACTGGTCCATCAAGATGAGCTGAAACGAGTTTTGTTGCTATGTGGAGATTCGCTTTAGATGGCTCTCTGGAGTTTTAATTTAAAGGGTTCTTTCAGTTTGTGCGTGGAGCTCCTACTACAAACCACATGCACCTTATCTAGGACTCCCCTGCGATGAGATTTTCCCACATAGGTTAGGTACGGTCTGGAAGGAATGCATCCCGGCAGTTAGCCAGAATCCCTTTCTAGACGATAACATCTTAGATACCAGTTTAAGAACCCTAAGTAAACCCAACAAGCTAAGGTCCTAATCTAATTAGGGTGCTCGCTAAGTCCGAAACAGATGATAAGTTTCGACAGCCGTTGAGGCTCTTGTGCTGGAAGCAGAAGGCTTTGTGGTCGGTGGGCCCTTTGCCGAAAATGTTCGTAAGCGCGGCTCATCTAAGAAGTGAGACCTCGTCGGCTGTACTCAAACACAAGCTCTTCTGCGCGCCTGCGTAGGTTTTAGGATTCGGGCTGTGCAGCACGAAAGCTCAAGCCAAACATCAAGACCCTGCACCCTAAAGTGACGCATGTACCAAACCCTTGCGAAAGCCAGGCAACACTGAACCCAAACCCCAAACCCTCCAAACCCTAAGCCACCTAAATCCTGAACCTAACTAAACCCGCTAAACCCTAAGCCACCTCAATCCTGAACCTCAAAGGGGAACAGGAGGGACCCTTAATAAGGACCCCTACTCTATAATGGGCTATATAATGGGTATAGAATGGCTATATTAAGGGTATATTACCTAGGGGTCCTTATTAAGGGTCCCTCCTTTTCCCCTCTGAGAACCCTAATCCCGCTAAACCCTACAACCACTACAAAACCCTGGAAACGCTGAAGACCCTTGAAGCAAAGTCCCCGAAGATCTCGGATTGATTGCAGCTAATGCAGAGGCTCTAACCCTGAGGCTCTAAGGACTAAGGCTTTTGGGCCCAAAGACCATACTATATAAGCCTGTTGGGCTATTTTGAGCCTTAGGGTAAGAGTCAGACTAGTTAGCGTAGGGCTCGTTTACAGGTTTTCTTGACAGGGAAGGTTCTACAACGCTTACTATAAGGGCGACTGCAGGGATTTGGTTTAGGGGCCTTAATGATTGAAAGGGTTTGGGGCATATTCTAGTATACTTTTTCAGGTTCATGAGGAACCATACGGAATAAAGTGGTAGGTATTGGGGCTTCTATATTAGGGGCATTGAACACTTGCTGTGAGCTTGTGCCCAGGTCAGGAAAAAAGAGCCGCGTGTTCAAAGAAATCGATTAGGGACCTGCAAACGGATTGCAGGCTAAACTCCTTCCAGTTTCCAGAGTGTGGTCGCCCACAGGTTCTGCCAATGCCCGGACGGAGTTTTGTTTCGGACTCATGCGCGACCTATTTGTTCTGAGCTGCCTTGTCCCCCCAAAAGCCTGCTTGTTCGGTTGAGTTACCCGAAGGTTTTAATTATCGGACTGTCCCAAAGATCTAGCGTTAGTAGTTCAGGGAATTAGGGCCGATCCCACAACACTACTACGATTCAGGGGAACCACGGTTGATGATATAAATCGTGCAGTAGCTTAAGGACCCTAAACTATGGAAATGATGATATGTTCCTTACTATGGGTAATGCAGGGTTTATATCAACCGTAGTCCTTAAACTGCACAAACTATACAAACTATGGTATACTCCTTATTATGCGTAATGCAGGATTCATATCAACCGTAGTAGTTCAGTCGTATCATCCGAAGCTGCAGGGGGCTCTGATACTTCAAGGGCTCGGCGTGCCAGATGTATCAGCCGAAAGGGTCCTAGGTAGTACTACTCCCCAAATCATAATCGAAATTCCCAATATAGAAACCTTCCGTTCTACTAGATACTTATGTATAGGACTTAGGACCCTTCGGGTAGTCTTTACAGCTTTGCGTTCAGGGCTCAGGGTTTAGGCTTTGGGTTTAGGCCTGAAGGGCGGGGGACTCTGCGCTAACATCAGCGAATCTCTCTCTCTCTCTCTCTCTCTCTCTCTCTCTCTCTCTCTCTCTCTCTCTCTCTCTCTCTCTCTCTCTCTCTCTATATATATATATATGTACACATACATATACATATATTTTAAATGATATAACCTAAAGGATCATGGGACTTAGTAACTGGGGTTATAATTAGAGTAACTGTACTTATAACTACTACTTATAGCCCCAATTCAGGTACTTACAACCTTACTTGCTATGTCCCATGATCCTTCAAGTAAAAACCGACGACTGGAAGTTCCTTACAAGGGGTCTTGTTGATCAAGGGGCTGCATAAACACAGCTGAGCACTGCTGAGCACTACATGACCTTAGCTCCAGTCCAGACCATCAGTAGTCGAACCTATTTTAGGGGTTGTGGTCTGGGCTTTTGGGCCTTGGTTGGGCCTATGCAAACTTGAAACTTCTCCTGTTTCGCTAACCTCTCGGCTAGGTGCTCAGGAATAGATCTCGCATGAATCACACGTGCTACACACGACAAGCCCTCTGCCCGCTCACACGGCGGCAAGCCTCGTACCGTGCAGGGTCAAAAACTCGCGATACTGCACGGCAGCTCTCTGGTTCTTATTAGGGAATGGGGGAAGGGATCCCTATAGTAGTCCCTATAAAATCCCCAACAATAGTCTCCACAACCCATTCCCCACTGAACCAGACAGGCAATATTGGGGGTTGGGTTTTTGACGACAGGATCCTTGCAAGCAAACTGTTCATCTTACAGCTTATCGCACCACTACTTATGGTATGATTCTTCAACAGTCCCATAGCCTTGACTTGTCTCTGTTTGACTATTTAGTGTTTAGGCACCTGTACTGGCCCGGAGAACCCCAAACTTTAAACTGTAAAGTTTGGCCGGAGGAACTTGCTGGGAATCTCCACGTACTCGGCAATGATCTCCTGGCTATCAATGGGTCGAGGCATGTCGGGGTTCAGGTTTAGGGTTGAGGGTTTAGAGTGTACGTATTCGAGCGTGTATGACGACGCACTCGGCAGTATTGCAATCAAGCAAACCCTACTTCGTCTCGGTTTGGAGTTGCTCGGGTGCCCTCGGGTTTGCTTGTGTGATCGTTTAACCTTGCGTCTGCAAGTTGGGGTCCTGCTCGAAGCAAGGGGGTTTATGGTGCGGGGGATGCTTACCTTTGGTTAGTAGGGAATGGAAGAATGGTAGTAATAGCAGCTATAATTGTACCCCACTCCTCCATTCCCTTCTAGCCAAAGGTAAGGTAATGGTGATGTAGTAGGAATACAATAGGACCCCGATATAATCCTTATAGTCACTATTACAGGGTGGCGGGGGGCCTTCTAACATAACGCTCATTCAGCACCCAAAACCATTGTAGGCTTCAGGAATAAACGGCTCGGGCCCGCTCTGGCCGTATATACTACATTGGACTTGGTCACTTCGAAACCTCAAGCGCTAAACCCTAACCCTTGGGTGGGTGCAGGCTTCATAGGATCTAGGGTTCCAGAAACCCTAAACCCTAAGCCCTAAACCCTAAAAACCCTAAACCCCAAACCCAAAGCCCCTAAAACCACCAAAATCCTAAACCCCCAAACCCTCCCCCCCCAACCCCCCCCCCCCCACCCCCCTCAAAAAAAAACAAAAAACACACCGAGCGCCGCTCCCGGAGGCGGTCGCCGGGCATGGTCTCCGTCTCGGTGAGCTCATCGGCCACCCGGTCCTCACGGCAAGGGATCACTCTCTTTTCTTTGGGAGAAATTCTTGGGGGTTCCTCTAAGGGTTCCTTAAAGGACCCCAAGGGTTCCTTTAAGGGATCCTTTAAGGAATCCTTTAGTTTAAAAGGGGAGGGTACTGTAATCTTTTCTTTGGGGGCTTCTTGGGAGTTCAGGGTTTCGGGGCTTAGGGTTTAGGCTTTGGGGGGTAAGGTTTTAGGGTTTAGGGTTTAGGCTTCTTGGGGGTTCCTCTAAGGGTTCCTGTAAGGGGTCCTTTAGGGAATCCTTTAGGGGTTCCTCTAAAAGGGGAGGGTACTGTAATCTTTTCTTGGGGGGCTTCTTGGGGGTTCCTCTAAGGCTAAGGGCTCCTTTAAGGAATCCTTTAGGGGCTTAGGATCTCTCTTTCCTTTGGGGGCTTCTTGGGGATTCTTTATAAAAGATCTGTGTCAGGTTAGGGTTCCTTTTGAAGGGTTCCTTTAATGGATCCTTTATGGGTTTAGGGTTTTAGGGGCTTAGGGTTTAGGTTTTAGGGTTTTTAAAGGGTGCTTTCAAGGGTCCTTCAGAAGGGGAGAGTACTATAGGGGTTTAGAGTGAAGGTTAGCAGGTTGAGATCTCTTTTCTCTGGGCTTCTTGGGGTTCAGGGTTTAGGGGTTTGGGTTTTGGGTTTGAAGGATCCCCTTAGGGTTCCTTTACGAGATCCGTTAGGGGTTTAGGGTTTAAGGGCTTGCATGGGTTTTAGGGTTTCGGGTTTGAGGTTTCTTAGAGTTTAGGGTTCCTTTAATGGGTTCCCATCAGTAGTATCTCTTCCAGGTTTTTTGGGGAGATGCCTTCGAGGGTTCTTTTCATGGGGAGGGCACTGTAAGAGTTTAGAGTTGAGGTTTGCGGTTTATGATTCGTTTCTTGGGGCTTCTTGGGGATGCATTCAAAGAGGGTCCCATAAGGGATCATTCAGCACTCCTTTAAGGGCTCCTCTGACGGAAGGGTACGATCATGGGAGCTTGCAGGGGGGGGGGGGGGGGTTGCCCTTGAAAGGTTCCTTTGAGGTGTTTTTAGGGTTAAGATGTGTTTTGGATCGTTTTGGGGTACCGTTTTAAGGTCATCTAATGGGGAGGGCAGCATCGCAGGATCTTTTGTTGGTGCTTTCGGGGGTGCCTCTGGGGGAGGGTGCTGCAAGGGCTGGTAGGGTAGGATCTGTTCTGGGTTGCCCTTTGAACACCCTGAACAATATTTATATATAGGGCCCCTTATAAACCCAAATAAGGAAAATAAAAATGTCCCAAAATCCAGCCTAGTGTGTATGGTTTTAGGATGGTTGGGGGGGTTTAGGTTCAGGATTTCGGGGTGCCGTGGGGATCAAAGGGTCTTTCCGGGCTGTTGAGTTTTGAGCTGCATGTAGAGTTGAAAAAAAATTCGGGTTCAGGGTCTGGGGTGTAGGTTTTAGGGCTTAGGGGTTTCGGGGTCTAGGGGTTAAGGGCTTAGGGCTAGAAAGCAGCAACTTCTCGTGTGCATCTGTTTGTCACCTAAACCCGAAACCCTAAACCCTATCTAACCAGTGGTTTTGGGGTTCCCTTGGCTCTTTAGCTCCTTATGTAAAGGGGATTATCATCATCCCTGGCTCCTTAGCTCCTCCAATACTGCTGATGGACAAAATCCTGCATGACCCTAAGGACCCTAAACTATGGGATCTATGGTATATTCCTTATAACGGGTAATGCAGGATTTATATCCTTAAACCCTAAATCCCTATAGATCCCTTAAAGGAGCCCCTTAAAGGTACCCCTATAGATCCCTTTAAAGGAACCCTATGGGATTTTGTCCATCCACAGTATCAACGGTTAGCTATCGAAGCTACTCCAATATCAAAGGTTAGATAAGTATAGTTACCCTGATTATAAGCCTGGGTACTAAGTCCCAGGATCCTTTAAGTACCCTAAACCCTAAACCCTATAGATCCCTTTAAGGATCAATGGTTAGCTATCGAAGCCCTTCGCTCCAGGCAAGCCCGGTTGGTCATCAGGATGTTCAGCGCATTCAAATAGCCTCGCTGCCCGGCGGCAAAGGCTTAGGCTCCAGTTACCTTTAATAGTAGGTTACTGGGATAATATAATGGCTAGTAACCTCTACTATTTATTGGGTAACTGGAGCCTTAGGGTAGGGTTTAGGGGGACTGCACTACTTAAGGGATCATGGGACTTAGTAACTCGGGTTATAGTTGGGGTAACTATGCTCATACCTACTTAATCCTACTTATAACCCCAATTAATTTACTTATAACCTGGCTTACTAAGTCCCATGATCCTCCAAGTAGGGTTGGCATGGCTTCCTCCTTTACACTTTCACGGTTAAGGGCGGAGGATGTACGATAACGGAAAAGGGGGTGGGGTATTCTACTTGGAGGATCATGGGACTTAGTAAGTAAGGTTATAAGTAATTATAAGTATAGTTACTCTATCTATAACCCTAGTTACTAAGTCCCATGACCCTTTAAGTATTCTACTTCCCCACAAGTTCTGACAAGGCAACAGCTTACTGCAGGATTGGGAGAGTGGGGAACCTAGTTTTCAGGGCCGCCGAGGATGAGCGAAGTAAATACAAGGAGGCGGGGCCTCAAGCCCCACGGGCTTACGTAACGTACCCGAAGTAGGGTTGGTGGTTTAGGGTTTAGGACATAGGGTTTAGGGTTTTGTGCTTAAAAAGCTAGAATAAGGAACCCTTACTTGGGAAGAACATCGGTAATTCAACCACTTGTCCAAGGACCCTTCGATGGGAAGCACTAACCCCAAGGGACACGGAGCAATACCGTGACGCTTCATTCGAGAATCCTCAGCCAAAGCACAATCCATGCAAACCCGTGTCCAGATTTTAAAGACAACTGCCCAGGAGTCGCTTACAGTTCAAACCATCACGAAAACAGCTAGTGCTGTCTGAAAACAAACTTAATTAGGGTTCAGGGTTTATAAAGCTTAGGGCGTAGTATGTAAGCATATATACACACACACATAGTGATGAACACTACAATATACACCTACAAAGCCGTCCCAACTATCAAGGCGCCCCTTTGTAAAACCCTACACCCTCCAGCCCACAGCACACTCCATCCAAGCGAGGGTCAATCATCCGAGATTTCCTTGATGGCATTGTCAATCTTCCTCAGGGCTGCCAGCTACATGCTTTGATATGCTGAAGTTTCATAGGGGTTATAGCGCTTAGGGTTTAGAGTTTATAGGGTTTGTAGGGTTTGTAGGGGTTTATAGGGTTTAGGGTTCAGCAGTTGATTTAGGGGTGTTGGGGTGCTAGGGCTAAAAAGCTAAACCCCAAACTTTGAGTGCGCAAGACCCAGTTTGTCGGGGCTTGCTATAGGGTTTTGGGGGACATTATAAGGAACCCCCCCGAAAACTAGTATAGGTAATTATGTTGAGCCCCGATAGTAGTGGGCTTGGGTCGATGGGTTGGGGGCTTTAGTATTCCCACAAATCTTGACAGGGCTTACGATACATCAACTGACCAACGGGCAGAAGCCTAATGTCCAGAAAGTAGGTTATGCAAGTCTGGTAACTAGACGTACGATTACTTATACCCGCAACTAGGGTACTTATAACCCTACTTGCCAAGTCCCCCTGACCCTCCAAGGCACAAAGACCAAAACCGTAAACGATCAGCCCAAAATCGCCCAAGGCCCCAACCTGCCAGGCCAATACGGATGAAGCTGCACGACCAAGACAAAGGAGCACCAAAGAGCTTTCGAAGAATCACTTGGGTCCTTACTTGTAGGGGTCCCTTATCACCAACACTTCTACTCTTCGGATCTGTTTTGATTATTCCCTGTATGATTAACAAAACACCAAACCTTAAACCCTAAACTCTAAGTCGCCTAAACCCTAAAACGCTAAACCTAGACCCCCTAAGCCCTAAACCTCCACGCCATTGATTTGCTTTAACACCCACTTCAGGAGACCTACGGCATTGAATACATAGAATGTTCGGGAGAACATGTCGCGGTGGAGCATACCTTAGAAGGGGCCCCCTCCCTGTAATAGTGACTACAAGGATTATACTACGGCCCTATTATATTTCCATTATATCACTATTACAGGGTGGGGGCCCCTTCTAAAGCATACCACAGTTTCATTCTTATGATAAGAGGCGGCAGTGCTTTACGAATTGAGATAGTTACAAGCACGACCAAACAATGTTGTAAAAATTGCTAACAGAGCCTATTTACAAACACATGCAGATAGTACCAATGGTAATCGTAACATGGGTAATTAGTTCTAGATACCCAAGATAGTACGACGCCGTTGGCAGAAGGACCTCAAAACAGACCCTGATGCGAAGAACTAGCCATATGGGTGGTTGTCAATATTAGGGTCCCTTTTGGGGTCCTTATTATCGTACGGCACCTAATATTTAGGGTACCCAAAAAGGGACCATAATTTTGATAACCACCCATATAGGTAAGCCTCCACCCATGTTACCCGCCGGGCGGCGAGCTCAACTCCTCTGAGTAGTCTGGGCCCATAAAGCCTTGCAATGGGTCTTTAAGGGTTAGGCTAGGGCTTTTAGGGCTTGTAGGGTTGATAGGGTTTTTCCGTGTAGGCTTATGGTTTGCCTTGCATTTCGCTCCAGGGGTAGGATGAATGTAGCTGGGGTATTTTGATTTAGATGTTTACAGAATCCTTAAATCAGGGACCCTTAATCCTACCCACCTTCATCCCACCTCTTGAAGCCTTGCAAGGACTTTCCGAACATTAGAGTGCAGAATTGGGCCTTCTTCGGGACCTCAGGCATTCTGAGGTTTAGGGCTTCTGGGGCTTGTTATTATTATGGGGTTTAGGTTGGGTACGGCCCCCATACAGTAAGAGTCTATAAATGGGGCTACTATTAATCTCCTTATATCTCTATATTATGAATATTATCCAACAGTTACTGAGTAGGGGCAATACTCAAGGATTAGGCTATTATGAGAAGACTAGCAGATGATAGGAACCCAAACGCACTGCTCGGGTGTAGAAGCTACACCACACGTCTGAAGATTGTGTCCCGTAGCTGTAAAAGCCGGGAAGCTTGTAAGTCAGGAGGGGTCTGCATCTAACCTGAAACACTCGCCGCAAAAACGCTGCAAAATAACGGTTTACACGCACTTCTGGAACCCGTAAACCGTTAAACCCTTAATTATCGTCTCGACGCGCTAGACCATGGCCCAAACCCTAAACCCCTAAAGCCAAAGCCCCGAAAGCTCAAACTTAATCCCCAAATTGCTCCAGACCACCAAAATCATAAACTCAATTGTTAAACTGCCCCAAACCCCAAAACCCCGAAAACTTAATTCCAGAATCCCAAAACACCGACACCCACAAAACAAGCCTGCGGCCCAAGCAGCCGATTTTCCAAAATCTTTCTACACCCCTAAACCCTAAAACCCTAAAGCCTTGTAGCATCCCTTAAAGGACCCCTGACAGGAGCCCAAAACAAACCCTCAGCCCAAGCGGCCGCCGTCGTCGATGGCCAGAGAACCCACCTCCGACCTGCAACAAGCTGCATGTTTAAGGCCTCAAAGGGTCCTAAGTATCTATACAATAAGGCTTACCTTTCGGTTCCCTTCGGGGTTCCTTCAAAGGGTTCCTCTAGGGGTTTAGGGTTTAGGGCTTATCAGCGGGGCTTTAGGGCTTGGGGTTCCTTGTCAGGGTTCCTTCAGGGTCTCTTAGAGCTCCCGGGCTTAGGGTTGGGGAGTTTGGCAGCTTAGGGCTCTTTTTCTCTGCAGATACAGATAAAATTCCTTATTAGGAGGAGCCTTGCATGTGTGTCGGGGCCTCATCGTGACGAGAGGTAAATTCAGATTAGCCCTTCCGAGTCCCCCGACCGTAACTGAGGCCCCAACGGACGCTTATCTCGTTGTCAAGCTGTTCCGCTCAAGGAGCTGATGACAATGCTGATTAGGATAACACTCACAACCACTGGAAACTAGAAGCAGCTCTGGCTCTTGCACCGACAGGGCGTCCGTAACGCTAAAAGCCTTCCAACCCTGAATCCCTAAACCCTAGCCTAAACTCCAGAAGCCCTAGAAACGCAAATAAACACCGAATCCTAGCAACCCAAACCCAGCCCTCCCACAAAAAACTAAGCCCAAACCCCCGCTAAACTCTAAAAGCGCTAGAAACCCAACCAAGCAAACTTGAAGAAACTCTAAGAGGGCCTTTCAAGGTTGTCCGAGGCACATACCGCGCAAAGAAGCCCTTACAAAGAATACCCTAGATTCTAAACTCTGAAAGCTCCCAAGAAACTCTCCAGTACACCCTTACACTAAACGGAATACCCTAAATCCTAAACCCCTACGGCCCGAAAACCCTAAACCCTAAACCCTCAATTAAAGCCTAAAGCCTTAAAGCCTCGAGCCCTACGCCCCCAAACCCTAAGAAACCCAGAGAACCTCTACGAAACCCGAAGGCCTTAATATAGGGGCCTTCATAATTAGAATAGGGTGTTGTGGTTCATACTATAACTATAATAAGGAGCTCCCAAAACAGTAATAGGTAATTATCATGGCCCCTATATTATCTCCCTGTAATAGCCCGTATATACCCCTTTAAAGGAACCCTCAAAGGAAGAGTATAATAGGTAATAATTACTACGGCCACTCCATAATAGTCCTTGTAATAGGCCTTATATACCCCATTAAAGGAATCCTTAAATGCACAGAACAATAGGTAGCTATGTCCCTTTAAACGAACCCTTTACAGGAACCCTATAGGTACTTATTAAGGCCACTCCAACGCCGTCCCAGGCACATGCCGAACTGTGTGACCATGGCTCGAGCCATGCGCTCCACCTGCCCCAAAGCGCACGCCCTAAAAAAACCCGAGAACCCTGGGGGGGGTTGTCGTTTTAGGATTTCAGAGCTCCTTTGAGGGTTGAGAATATTTTGCAGGGTTAGGGTTTAGGGTTGCGTTCCTTGTCGTGTTTTTGGCAACCCGAAAAAACCCCAAGAATTCAGCGGGGGCTTGGGGTTCAAGGTTTGGGGTTCCTTCTGGGGTCAAGACTCTTTCGAAAAGGTTAAAACCCTAACATTTCCTTTTGAGAGCTAGAAGGGGTTCCTTTAAAAGGGCTTCGGGTTTGGGGTGTTTTGGACCCTTTTAACCCTAAGTGGTTTTATTCTCTCAAGGATACCATAACAATCGATAAGGGTTAATCCACGGGTTGCTGAAAGGCTCACTATAAACCCTGCAAGACAGCAAACCCGATGCATAGGGCCGGTATTGCGTGGAATAGGGGTTCCTTTAGAGGGTAACTCTATTATACCGCCCTAAGAACACAGGATTTCGGGTTTTGGGCATGGCTTTAAGGCTCATCAGGTTCAGGGGCCTTGTAGACTTTTGGGTCGGGCTTTTGGGTTACAAGGCTGGAGGCTAAAGGTTCGGGATTTGTTGAAGCCATCGCATAAGCAATATAATAAGAGCCCTTACCTGATGCAGGTCTGGTGAAAACACGTGGCATGCGGTCGAGCGGGATTCTGCTGGACGAACACTTGCAAATCGGCCGTGTGGAGGTCCAAAGCCACGGGTATGGAATCTGCATTGTACAAGTCCAAAAGGAGTACCTAAGAGCTTCCGCAGAAGTCGCGTCCAAAGCCGAGATGCAGCAAATGCATTATGTCGGGGCGAAACAAAGAGGGAGCATCGTGCCGGAAGTGTGGCATGTATTCCAAAGACAGAGGGATCCTTGCCCACGGGTATGGGTTGTTCCGGCCACTCGTCGGCAGCCATGATGGCAAGGTTGCAAAGTCTTCGAATTGATGCCCCTCCGTGCCAGCTAGGCACAAATGGCAACAGCCACAGGGCTTCTTGCTTTTAGCCGTTGGAACAGCTTTGCGAACGTTGAGAAATGTTCGCAAAAGAAAACCTGCCTTCTGTATGAATGGCAGATCCCCCTTCACTCCCAACAGAACCGGAGCCGCTTGCCATCAGGAAGGTCCAGCCCTTCGTTGTGCAGTTTGAACATATTCTGCATCGTGCCTTCCAAAAAGTTCAGAAAGCAATGTTCATCATCCTCGTACAATGCCTTCTGCATAACACCATACAAAAAGCACGTCATGAAACTGTGCTTCGGCAAGTTCACACCTGCCACACCTGGTCCATGCACAGGGTGTGAAGTACGACTGAAATGGACCATCACTGTAGGCAGTTGCAAGCTATGCGGGGCTGTCCAGGCATGCCTTTTGGTAAGACCGGAAGTACTTCTCTACTTCGACATGGTATTGGTAGTCCCCCTTTAATGCCGTGCATTGCACACCTTGCTGACCTACATTCATGCAACAAGTGGGTCAGTCCCTTACTCACCTCCTCTGGATAAACGTCAGCAACTTCAGGCCGTGCTTTGAACATCTTGGAATTCATACACGTAGTTGCCGGGAAAATGATGAACAAATCACACCCTGTCGTCGGGGTTTATAGGGTGCAGGGCTTGGGGTTTAGGGTCTACGTTGCAGTGGCGCCAATAATGTGGCGCCCTAGACAGTCTAGCTTTTCAGTATCCCGTGTAAACCAGGGTGCCCCTGCTTTTGTAAGTATTCAACCATATTTATTGGGAAACCCGCAAAGCGTGTAATTATGGGTGCTGCCGGCCAACGCTAGGCTAGTACTAGGATTTCTCAAACTCAAGCCCTGAACACTAAACCGTTGAATCAAACGCCCTAAACCTTATAGGCCTCCATAGAGACACTGAACCCCTTCCCCTCCCTCTCCCGGGACCTGTTGGAGATCGCCGCCAGCGCCTGTCGTGACCTTCACCAGGACTTCAGAGTTTGCAGCTTGTCTAGGGATGTAGTATTTAATTTAAGGCTACTGTGTAGCGTCTAGTGCATATAGGGCGAGTTGTTTAAGGGATCAGGTTGACACACTTATTGGGCTAGGGTTGCGTTTGAGTGTTCATATAGGGGCCTTGATAATTAGAATAGGGTCTTGGTGCATAGCTACTCTAAGGAACCCCCACAAGAGTATTGGCAATCTAGGCCCCTATGTTAGGGCATGACAGCAACTCCCCGTGGTCTGAACCCGAGCTTCACCCGCAGGAGAAGGTACATTAATATCCAAACTCCGATAAACATGAACATAATATAGGTCGGAATGGTTAGTACATAATTGTATCCCACAGATTCTACTCATCGTATACAGTCTACTACTATAACTTGGAACCTTGTTCCAACCTTAAACCCGTATAGTTACACCTCACGAGGAAACCCAATTTTTCTATATATTCCAAACTAGTATATGGTATACGCTATACTATTAGACTCTTTACCCTAAGCTCCAATCCCCAGTAAACGAAAAAAGCTGGAGTTTGAAGTAACCGGGGGAAGAAAGTACACACTTTTATTTCATAATGGCTCCTTTAAGGAACAGGTACCAAGAAGTATTCAAGTATGATATACTCCAAACCCAGGTTTATACAAGTGATATGTTACAGGTTGTAGGGATCACTGTTCAGGCTTTTGGTCTCTGAAATGGGACTTCAAGGCAAAATGGTAGTATGCATGCGCTCCAAACCCAGGAAAAATGTTTTCAGTGACTCTTTCCCCCCCCCCCCCCGCCTGGCTCGTGCCAAAGACCTCAGCTTCGCTCTATCCCGGGTAAGATATTGAGAGGATGTAGTAACCTTAGCCTGCCAAGCCCTACTTTGTTTTAGGTTCTTACTATAAACCCTTATCTGGATTTATAGGGACCCTACAAGAAAAGTAGGTTTTGGTAGGTTAAGGAAGGCTTACGGTTTAGGGGTAAAGCTTTTTCATCCTAGGGCTTTTTTGAGTGTTTCATAGGGTTTGGGGATTAGGGAATGGGCTTCTTCATTGCAGGGTTTAATACGGTTCCCCGTAAAGTTTACAAGGGTTTCATTGGCTTTGAAAACCTTCAATTCGAGTGTTTAAGAGGGCTGACTAGGATTCATAGTGGTTTAAGGTTCTTGTTTAAAGGGTTTCTAAGGGTTAATTAGGGAGTAGGACTAGTTGGAGTTATAACTTCTAGGACCCTGTATTATCTCTCAAGAGTTTCTTGCCGGCCTTTATTAAAGGGACACTGTGGGGGCCTGGTTTGAGCTTCCATGGCTTGAGGATATGGACCTGCTTCACTTCCCCTCCCGAGGTTGGAACCTCCCTCAACCGTACTTGGAGGTTCATGAATAGTTATAAGCAGGGTTATAAGTCCCCTAATATGAATTATAGGTATTGCTACCCTACTTATAACTCTACTTAGAACTACCCATGAACCTCCAAGTAAACCCCAAACCTAATCTTCAATAGGTACAGGCTGCCAGCTGCTCCGCCGCGCGACCGCCTGGGCCGGCAGGTCGGGTCTAGGGTTTAGGGATTAGGCTTTGGGGGTTTAGGGGTTTAGGGTTTAGGAGTTTAGGGGTTTACGGGTTTAGGGTTTGGGAGTTTAGGGTTTAGGGATTAGATTTTTTTTTTTAGGGTTTTGGGTTTAGAGTTCATAAGGGTTTAGGGCTTTAAAGGTTAAGGGTTTAGGGGCTTAGAGTTTAGGGTTTAGGGCCCCTTTCTTCTCCTCTTGGCTACACGGGTTTTATAAGGCTTTTCAAAGGTGCAAAGAAAAACTCTTTGGGGTTGTAGTTAATCTAACTATGTGGGCTTTAGAAAGGTTTAGAAGGCGTTGACGAATGTATACGTTAACCCCACGTAACCTACTTTCTCAAGGACTTATATAAAGAAATCATATTAGGGAACCCTAAAAAAGGTAGGTTCCTGAGGGTCCAGGTAAGGCTGTATAGGGTTGCTTTAGCAGATCATGGGCCTTACAGCTTATCCAGCTCCTTTTTTTGGAAAAGGGTTTGTCAAGCTTTACGAGGATGTGTGAGCGCTGTACAGCAAAACCCCTGCAAAACGAACGCTTTACAAAAGCCAGTTAAAACCCAACAGAATCCCATTATGCCACTACATGAGCCTTACTTGTAACCCCGAATCCTACATCCTACAAAAATCAACAGGCCATGACCCCTTTAACCCAGAAACTATAAGTTTGGGATCCCCAACAAACTAACACCCTAATCCCTGCACCCTTACGCCCTAAACCCTAAACTGCTAAACCTTAAACCCCTAAGCCCTAAATCCTGAACCCCTAAACCCCTAAACCCCTACACCCTCAACCATCCTAAACCCTAAGCCCTAAACCCCTAAACAACCATCCTAGACCCCAACACCTACGCCCTCGAAGCCCAGAAACCCCATAGATCCCTTGAAGGAACCCTGTAAATCCCTGTTAAGGAGCCCTATAGATCCCTTAAAAGGAGCCCCATAAATCCCTTTAAGGAGCCCTATAGATCCCTTAAAAGGAGCCCCATAAATCCCTTTAAGGAGCCCTATAGATCCCTTAAAAGGAGCCCCATAAATCCCTTTAAGGAGCCCTATAGATCCCTTAAAAGGAGCCCCATAAATCCCTTTAAGGAGCCCTATAGATCCCTTAAAAGGAGCCCCATAAATCCCTTTAAGGAGCCCTATAGATCCCTTAAAAGGAGCCCCATAAATCCCTTTAAGGAGCCCTATAGATCCCTTAAAAGGAGCCCCATAAATCCCTTTAAGGAGCCCTATAGATCCTTAAAAGGAGCCCTATATATCCCTCAAAAGGAGCCCTCTAGATCCCTTTAAGGAACCCTATCCGCCGACCCCTGCGGGCGGCGCCCGTGATATCCCGAGAGGTGTCCGCACCCACACCGCTTCCACCGCCTCCACCGCTCTGTTCAGAGAGTCTTTCTCCGCTGTAGTTGTAGGTGTTTAAAGAGTATGTAAAGGCTGGCAATGTGTGCCCGGACCTCTCCGCGCCCCACTGCCCCCACCGTCCTCACCGCCCCCACCGCCCTCACAACCTCCACCACCGCCCTGTTTAAAGAGTCCTTCACCGCTGTATTTGTAGGTGTCAAAAAAAAAATAAGAGTATTTAAAGGCTGCCAATGTGTGCCCAGACCCCTCCGCGCCCACACCGCCCCTACCGCCACCGCCGCCCTTACTTTTACAAAGTATTTAAAGGCTGCCAATGTGTGCCCGGACCCCCCCGCGCCCCCACCGCCCACACCGCCCCCACCGCCCACACCGCCCTCACCGCCCTCACCACCCCCACCACCTTCATCCCCCTCCACCGCTTTCACCGTTCCCACCGTCTCCACCGCTCTCACCGCCCGCTGTATTTGTAGGTGTTTAAAGAGTAAAGAGTATTTAAGCCTGCCGATGTGTGCCCGGACCCCCCCGCGCCCCCACCGCCCACACCGCCCCCACCGCCCACACCGCCCTCACCGCCCTCACCACCCCCACCACCTGCATCCCCCTCCACCGCTTTCACCGTTCCCACCGTCTCCACCGCTCTCACCGCCCGCTGTACTTGTAGGTGTTTAAAGAGTATAAAGAGTATTTAAAGCCTGCCGATGTGTGCCCGGACCACCCCGCACCCCCACCGCCCACACCGCCCACACCGCACCGCCCCCACCGCCCACACCGCCCTCACCGCCCTCACCACCCCCACCACCTTCATCCCCCTCCACCGCTTTCACCGTTCCCACCGTCTCCACCGCTCTCACCGTCCGCTGTATTTGTAGGTGTTTAAAAAGTAAAGAGTATTTAAAGGCTGCCAATGTGTGCCCGGACCCCCCCGCGCCCACACCGCCCACACCGCCCACACCGTCCCCACCGCCCACACCGCCCCCACCGCCCACACCGCCTTCACCGCCCTCACCACCCCCACCACCTTCATCCCCCTCCACCGCTTTCACCGTTCCCACCGTCTCCACAGCTCTCACTGCCCGCTGTATTTGTAGGTGTTTAAAGAGTAAAGAGTATTTAAAGGCTGCCAATGTGTGCCCGGACCCCCCCGCGCCCCCACCGCCCACACCGCCCACACCGCCCCCACCGCCCACACCGCCCTCACCGCCCTCACCACCCCCACCACCTTGATCCCCCTCCACCGCTCTCACCGCCTGCTGTATTTGTAGGTGTTTAAAGAGTAAAGTTGAAGCCTGCCAATGTGTGCCCGGACCCCCCCGCGCCCCCACCGTCCGCACCGCCCACCCACACCGCCCACACCGCCCCCACCGCCCACACCGCCCTCACCGCCCTCACCACCCCCACCACCCCCTCCACCGCTTTCACCGTTCCCACCGTCTCCAACGCTCTCACCGCCCGCTGTATTTGTAGGTGTTTAAAGAGTAAAAAATATTTAAAGGCTGCCAATGTGTGCCCGGACCCCACCGCCCACACCGCCCTCACCGCCCTCACCACCCCCACCACCTTCATCCCCCTCCACCGCTTTCACCGTTCCCACCGTCTCCACCGCTCTCACCGCCCGCTGTACTTGTAGGTGTTTAAAGAGTAAAGAGTATTTAAAGGCTGCCAATGTGTGCCCGGACCCCCCCGCGCCCACACCGCCCACACCGCCCACACCGTCCCCACCGCCCACACCGCCCCCCGCCCTCACCCGCCCTCACCGTCCCACCACCCCCACCACTTCATCCCCTCCCCCGCTTTCACCGTTCCCACCGTCTCCACCGCTCTCACCGCCCGCTGTATTTGTAGGTGTTTAAAGAGTAAAGAGTATTTAAAGGCTGCCAATGTGTGCCCGGACCCCCCCGCGCCCACACCGCCCCCACCGCCCCCACCGCCCACACCGCCCACACCGCCCACACCGCCCCCACCACCCACACCGCCCTCACCGCCCTCACCAACCACACCACCTTCATCCCCCTCCACCGCTTTCACCGTTCCCACCGTCTCCACCGCTCTGACCGCCCGCTGTATTTGTAGGTGTTTAAAAAGTAAAGAGTATTTAAAGGCTGCCAATGTGTGCCCGGACCCCCCCGCGCCCACACCGCCCCCACCGCCCCCACCGCCCACACCGCCCACACCGCCCCCACCGCCCATGCACACCGCCCTCACCGCCCTCACCACCCCCACCACCTTCATCCCCCTCCACCGCTTTCACCGTTCCCACCGTCTCCACCGCTCTCACCGCCCGCTGTATATGTAGGTGTTTAAAGAGTAAAGAGTATTTAAAGCCTGCCGATGTGTGCCCGGACCACCCCGCACCCCCACCGCCCACACCGCCCACACCGCCCACACCGCCCCCACCGCCCACACCACACGCCCTCACCGCCCTCACCACCCCCACCACCTTCATCCCCCTCCACCGCTTTCACCGTTCCCACCGTCTCCACCGCTCTCACCGCCCGCTGTACTTGTAGGTGTTCAAAGAGTAAAGAGTATTTAAAGGCTGCCAATGTGTGCCCGGACCCCCCCGCGCCCACACCGCCCACACCGTCCCCACCGCCCACACCGCCCCCACCGCCCACACCGCCTTCACCGCCCTCACCACCCCCCACCTTCATCCCCCTCCACCGCTTTCACCGTTCCCACCGTCTCCACAGCTCTCACTGCCCGCTGTATTTGTAGGTGTTTAAAGAGTAAAGAGTATTTAAAGGCTGCCAATGTGTGCCCGGACCCCCCCGCGCCCCCACCGCCCACACCGCCCCGACCGCCCACACCGCCCTCACCGCCCTCACCACCCCCACCACCTTCATCCCCCTCCACCGCTCTCACCGCCTGCTGTATTTGTAGGTGTT